AGCGAACAAACCAAAGGATGGGATGTGTTTGTGGACACTCCCAATGATGATGAGGATGAAACTCTTAGTTCAAAATGGATTGAAATAATACTCAAATTTCTTAAAGTGATAACTTATATCATAACATTCTTCGTCGTCCTATCGTGTGCTGTCCTCTCAAAAGGCATTGTTTTATTCATGACATCAATTATAAGAGCCAACAGAACGGTCTCTGTTTGTAATCAAGGAATACCTGGTCTCGAAAGAGATAAAAAATATTTTGCAGTTTTCCAATACGACGACCCCGAAAGAATTGTCTGGATTTGGAGTCTATTCTTCATTCTTATTGTGCCGGAGATTATGACACTTTTCAGAAGTGCTCGGATTTGCACTTTTAAATCATACAGAGTTCCCGACAAAAGTACTTTTATTACAGTAAGTACTGTATATTTTGAAATCTCTTAATTCTGTAACTTATAAATGAATGCAAACTTACAATAGGTGTTAATAATGGAAACACTGCATACAATAGGACTGGTATTCTTAGTGTTTGTGATATTACCGTCTCTGGATGTTGTGAAAGGAGCGATGCTTACAAATTGTCTGTGTTTTGCGCCCGCATTACTATCCATGTTATCAAGACATTCAGGAGAAACGAAAAGAGCATTTAAAACTATACTCGACTTTCTATGCGTGTCAACACAGTTGACAGCTTTCATTATTTGGCCGATTGTGGCCAAACAGGAGAGAAATCCAATGGCAGCTTTTATACCAGTGGTGTGTTTTCTGGTATCTCTCGGCTGGTGGGAAAACTATGTGGACAAGAATGCATCGTTTGGTTTCATCCGAAATATTGCAAAGATTAAGCAAAAACTTCACAGAACGCGATATTTTACCTTTATTTTCATATCGATCTGGAAAATAGTTCTAATATTTATTTGTATGATTTTGGCCTTTTATATGACCGATGGAAGTGTCGGAACAATATTCTCAAAGTTTAAAGAATCGTTTGGTTCGCATAAGATTACTATCCAAAGAGACCGATCGGATCTCATATCACTCGCAAATACAGACCAATTCGTTGGCATTGAGAGCGAAACGTTTGAGATAAACTCGCGCTCATCGATACCCATATGGTTTGTGATCATACAGATAGTGGCGAGTTGGGTGTGTTATGTGGTCGCCAAGTTCGCCTGCAAAATATGTATTCAGGGATTTAGCTTTGCATTTCCTATTAGTCTCACAGTTCCAGTGGCCATATCAGCACTCATTGCCTTCTGTGGCGTTCATTTTGACAATAAGTGCAAAATTTCCGATTTTCTGATCCCGAAGTACTTGTTTTGGTACTGCAATGAAGAGCCGTTTATTCGCGACGAGCCCTTCTTCAATATTCACGCAATCATGTGGTTGTTATGGCTATTATCACAGACTTGGATCGCTATCCATATCTGGGCGCCCAAATGCGAAAGATTGGCCACAACTGAAAAATTATTTGTGAATCCAATGTATTGCGGAGTAATTATCGATCAATCGATCGCTTTTAATAGACGAAGAGATGACGAGGAAGAGATCAAAAGCGAAGACATTAACTTAGAAACAGAGGGAAACACACTTCAAGACCCGTCACAGCATTACGAGACTATATCTGAGAATATGGACGACAAGAAGAAGTCGTCGACTTTCAGTTCCGACCAAATCATCCGCATCTACGCGTGTGCGACGATGTGGCACGAGACCGCTCAGGAGATGATCGCTATGCTCAAGTCCGTCATGAGAATGGATGAGGACCAGAGCGCCCGTAGAAATGCACAGAAATATCTTAGGATTGTTGATCCCGATTATTACGAGTTTGAAGGTATAGTTTTGACCACTTCTTTACATTTGGAAACACTATTGCATTTCATTTGAAATCATATAACAATGCGTTTAAAAACTTATAAAACTATTTTTGTTGAAAATAAGTTCACATATTCTTTGACGACGCGTTTGAATTGTGCGATGAGAACGACGACGATATGATTGTAAATCGATTCGTAAAACAATTGATTGAAGTGATCGATACGTCTGCCAGTAATGTGCATCAATGTAACATCAAACTCAAACTGCCCACTAAAGTGCCCACACCTTATGGCGGACGTCTGGAGTGGCGAATGCCCGGACAGAACAAACTCATTGCTCACCTCAAAGACAAATCCAAAATAAGACACAGAAAGCGTTGGAGTCAAGTATGGTTGACAAGAGTTAGTATCAATGAAACAAAGTTAATATATTTCAATATTTTAGGTGATGTATATGTATTATCTATTGGGACACCGACTCATGGAATTACCCATAGATGTGAATAGAAAAGCAGTGATGGCTGAGAATACCTATTTGTTAACTCTGGACGGAGACATCAATTTCCGTCCGCATGCCGTCCAACTGTTGGTTGATTTAATGAAAAAGAATCGCAACTTAGGCGCCGCCTGTGGACGCATTCATCCCGTCGGCTCCGGGTTTATGACTTGGTATTCAATTCAAGGTTTAATATAATATAATATAACCAATTTTTGATATATTTGTGGACAGGTATCAGAAATTTGAGTACGCAATCGGACATTGGCTTCAAAAAGCAACCGAACATATGATAGGATGTGTATTGTGTAGTCCCGGTTGCTTCTCGTTGTTCAGGTAAATTCGTATTGAATATAACCAAATATGTATATTTATTTTAACTATTTTCATTTTCTAAAATTTTGAAAGTATAAATAATTAAAATATATTTAAGACTAAACTATATTATAAGTTGAATTATAATAAATATAAACTTAAAATAATTATTTATAAATTAGAGCTAAAGCATTGATGGACGACAATGTTATGCGAAGATATACAACCCGTTCGGATGAAGCTTTACATTACGTTCAGTACGATCAGGGAGAGGATCGTTGGCTTTGCACTCTTTTACTACAAAGAGGTTAAAGAAATTAATTTAATTTTAAACATTATATCCAACTAAAGTACTCTACAATAAATATAACCATTTGGTGTCTATATATACTGTAGGTTATCGAGTAGAATATTCTGCTGCATCCGATGCTTATACTCATTGTCCCGAAGGTTTTGGGGAGTTTTATACACAGAGGCGTCGTTGGGCGCCCTCAACAATGGCTAATATAATGGATTTGTTAGGAGATTACAAGAAAACAGTGAAAGTTAACGACAATATTTCACTTCCATATATTATATATCAAGGAATGTTAATGATTGGCACAATCTTAGGCCCGGGAACTATATTCCTTATGCTTGTGGGCGCTTTAGTCGCCGCATTCCGTATCTCAAACTGGGATTCCTTTTACTATAATATCGTTCCCATACTCTTCTTCATAATCATCTGTTTTGTGACCAAAAATGATGTACAAATATTTGTGGCACAAATCCTAAGCGCAGCCTATTGTCTGTTAATGATGGCTGTGTTCGTGGGTCAGGCCATCCAAATGACAGAAGACGGCATCGGTTCCCCGTCCGCCATATTCTTTATCTCTTTGACTGGAAGTTTCATTGTTGCCGGTCTTCTCCATCCACAAGAAATGGCGTGTTTAGCACCGCTTTTACTTTACTTCTTGAGCATTCCGTGCATGTATTTGTTGCTAATAATATACTCACTCGTCAATTTGAATGTTGTCACGTGGGGTACGAGAGAAGTGCAGACAAAGAAGACTAAGAAGGAGTTGGAAGAGGAGAAGAAGGCCACCGAAGAGCACAAGAAAAAGAATTTGTTGGGATTCTTGAATATGGGCGACAATAGGAAAGAGGAGGGATCGATAACATTCAATTTGGCCAATCTATTCAAATGCATGTTCTGTACGTATCCTAAACCAAACGAAGAGGCCATCCATTTGATCAAAATTCAGGATCAATTGGATTCAATCACTCAAAAACTCAGCTCTTTAGAGAAGGGAATCGATCCAAACGCTCAGTCAAAGAGAACTTCAATCGGAAGAACTGCAAGATTTTCCGACAATCTCTCGACTGTCACTGAGAATGAAGACGAGGAAGAATTCGGATCAGAAACTTCTGACATCAATATAGACGACAAGGAATCGGAGGGCAAACACGATAGGGACGATCTCCTCAACCCATATTGGATTGAAGACAGAGACCTGAAGAACGGAGAGGTGGCGTATTTGCATCCCTCGGAAATACAGTTCTGGAAGGACTTAATCGGCAAATATTTATATCCAATCGAACAAAACAAAGAACATCAGGAAAGGGTCGCCAATGACCTGAAGGAACTCCGGAATCGAGTGGTGTTTGCGTTCTTTATGCTGAACGCACTCTTCGTTTTAGTTGTGTTTTTGCTTCAACTCAATAAAGAGATCCTTCACATCGATTGGCCGCTCGGAGTCAGAGAAAACATTACTATAAATCCGGACACAAATGAATATATTGTTGACAAAGAATACCTCGAACTCGAACCCATAGGTTTGGTGTTTGTTGTCTTCTTTGGGACTATTCTTGTGATACAATTCGTTGGAATGCTTTTCCATAGATTCGGAACTCTTTCACATATTTTGGGTGAGTTTTAATTTTTAAATTTATTTTTCAAATTTCAAATTGATTTGCAATGAATTTGATTTCAGCGTCGGTTGAGTTGACATTCTGTTCGCCAAAAGTGGAAGACGTCAGCGAAGATGATTTCATTGATAAGAATGCCATTCAAATTGCTAGACAATTGCAAAGACTTAGAGGCATCGATGAGGACGACAAAAGTGATGATTCAAAGTATGGAAATCGAGTGGAAAAGAGGAAAACAATATTCAATTTAGAGAAGCGATTACAACAACACAGAAGAATAGGAACTTTGGACGTGGCCTTCAGGAAGAGATTCTTGAATTTATCCAACAATATGCCGACCGGAACACCCATTTTGGGCGGTATTCGCAACAAAGAGCAGATTATGGCTCTCGAGAGGCGTAGAAATACAGTAATTGCGGGCGAAAGTCATAGCCGGCCAGGAATGCAAACACTCGGTGCCAAAAATGAATTCGTCAGAAATCAAGCGAATAGATCCACATTAGACTCAAAGCGTCCTCGAAATGGTGTCGATATTAATGGCGGTCTTCATAACAGGGCTTATATACAAGACTCGGACGATGACGACGACCCCATTGACAGACCAATCAATTTAAATATCTATAGTCCCGGTTCGCGACACAGCGCTAACAGCTCTGTCAGCAAACGCCAGAGTCTGAGTCATAACTTATAATTTGTTTTGAAATAAAATATTTTTTGTTTTATATTGTATGAAAAAATTCTAAACTTTTTTATGATAACTTCTTAAAAACAATTTAATAAAAAACATTTTTGATCACTTGTCTAATGAAACTGAATCCAGTTCTTCATGCAAGTCATCCAAATCGTCGAAGTCGTCTTCAAACAGTGTTTCATCGATAGGTGGACTCTCTATTGTGTCTTCGGTACCGCCCGTCGCCGCTATGGCCTGCGTGTCATCAATAGGTATATTAAACTCTCTTTTGTCGATTTGAGTTCCGGTTCCGTCGGCAGCCTTCGCTTCGGCCATAAGGGCTTCTAAAGTAATTTCTTTGTAGACAATGCCTCGTTCTTCGTCGTCGTCGTCGTCCTCACTATCGTAGTCCATATAAGCCGTCTCTCCGTCTTCCATATCCTCATCAATGGCTAAATCGGGATTAAATGTAAACATTTCGCGTCCACTGAGACCGACATTTTTGCCGGCTTTGAATTCAGCCTTTTTGCGGTCCGTCTCCTTCTGATCCCTGTCTGCCTTTTCTGCCAATTTCTTTCGCTTCCATTCGAGAAATAATTGTAGAGTTATTTTAGTTAAATGGTAGCCGAGTTTCGCCCTTTCGATTTCAACCAATTCTTCAATAGTAATGTCGTCCTTCTTGTCCTTCTTCTTGCGGTCCTTATTCAACACAAATCCGGGCGGAAGACAGTGTCTGTAATGACATTTGTCTCCACCGTTAGGACAGTCCCAAAACCAGCCGTATTTATTCGATTCCAAAGCTTCAAATATATTAAACATAAACTTTATTATTAGAAATACATTTCAAACTAAATTTAGTAAATGTTAATAAATTAACTATTATTTCAATAAATACAGAAAATTGAATGAAAGTACGAAGTGATGCATACCATCGATGAAATGTTTGCATATGATATCAGTGGTAGGCATGCCTTTCCTTTCCCTCTCTCCGTGTTTCTTATCGACCACTTCTTTGAGCTTTTCTTCGTCCCAGTCCTCCATAGTGTCCTCCTGTCGGTTGTCTTCATACATGTTCTTCTTCTCGCTCTTGCGTTCGACGGACACGTCGTGACTGAACTTACATTTGTCTCCTTTGCCGCACTGACCCG